AAGGAATATTATAACCTGATTAGTCCCATAAAATTTTCTTTTTATTCCATAAGGTCCATTTTTCTAATTTAATATAATTTCTTGGACTATTTTGCCCCTGTATATATATATATATATATATACAGTGTTAATACGTATTACGTGCCTGTTTCTTCTCTGATTCAGTTTGGCAGTTTCTATTTTACACTTTTCATCATCAATCCAATTCCGAGAGATATGTTTATGTTTTGCATGCTCGTTCCAAGGATTGGTTGTGCTAGGGTTTCATTCTCGCTGTTGTAGTCTGGTTCTGTGGTTTGCGAGTGAAGACGACGAAGAGGAAGGTGTTCGGTTGTTACATTTTCCGGACTATAACTAGTTCAAATCAATTTTTTTCGACTTTCTGGACGATTGTAGGATTGCATGATTAAGGTTAGTATCAATTTGGTTATGAATACATGTTCAGTTTATGGTTTCATTCGTATAATGGATCAGATGCTCTGTTTTTTGATTTATATGGATTGGATGCTCTGTTTTTTCAATTATATGCATTTTACGTGGTCCTGTGGAGGAGAGTTCATTCATATTATGTGAAGAATGTGTAGTTCTCATTTTACTTTGATGTATGCGTAATGAGGCTCTTTATGGATGATTTGATTATCAGTATATATATCAATGTGAATGTTCACATTTTGTTAATGTGGAATATGTGAAGAATGTGGATGTTCTCATTTTAAATTGATGTTTACTTAATGAGGCTCTATGTGTGTGATATAATTCAGAGTGTATGTGTCAAAGTAAATGTTGACATCTTGTTTATATTATGTGAAGATTGTTGATATTCTCATTTTACTTTGATGTTTGCTTAATGTTGACATCTTGTTAATATCAATGTGAAGTTCACATCTTCGTATTGTGAATTATGGATTTAGCACTTGAACTATACACATAGTCATCTATTTTTTGCACAATGTGAATTTTCATATCGATTTTGATTACTGTTCATTGTTGTGTTTTTGTGTTTTTACAGGAGATGGATACCTTTATGCTGTTGGTGTGTACATATGGTTGTAGTACAACTGTAATAAATGTTGCCCGCGCAATGTGTTATTCTCGTTTGGTGGAGTGTTTGTGTGAGAAATGGGATGAGTTGTCTGCTGGTTCTATTTCATTGTTTTGTAAACTACTTGGGATTAGTAAGTGTGATTTGGACAATGAGGAAGAATTTCAGAACATGTTACTGCTTGTTAAATCAATGGGGGTACAGCATGTAGAAGTTGTGGTTGAGTTGAAAAGTGATATTGGTCAGTCAAGTAGTTTGGGATTGCTGCGTATGGGGGTTGAGGAAGAAATTGATGCACTACGGAGATTTTGCCACCATAAAGAGAATGTGTTGTTGTCAGCCCCTTGGGCAAATGGTATTACGCATGTGGGACAACAGTTTGTTGGAGGTACACAAGAATTTCGTGACGTTTTATGTAAGTATGCCATCCAATGTGGGTTTAAGTTTACATACGTGAAAAACGAGACAACAAGAGTTACTGTTGTGTGTGCAATGCGGAAGGAGAGGGGCTGCTTGTGGGCTATACATTGTAGAGCACAACGAGCAAATGATTTTTTCTACATTAAGAGGTTTAGTGATGTACATACTTGTGGTACGGATGTCCGAACATCGAAGAATCCGCAAGTTAGTTCGGATTTGGTGTCGAATACCATATCTGAAATTGTGAGGGACAAGCCGTTGACTCGGCCATGTGAGGTGGTGACTATTTTGAAGAGGGATTATGGGCTAGGTGTGAGTTACCATGTCGTATGGTTGGGTGTGGAGAAAGCAAAGGCTGGTATTCATGGAGATCACTCGTTATCGTTTGACCAGCTGTGGTGGTATTCGTATGCCGTGATGCGGTACAATCCGGGGAGTTATGTCAATATTGACTATGATGCGAGTAGTCAACAGTTTTGTCGCTTCTTTGTGTCATTCACTACGTGTATTTTTGGGTTCAATGCTTGTCGGCCTTTATTATTCCTGGATGGAACATTCCTCAAAGGTCAGCTACTTGCGGCAACGGCGAAAGACGGAAACAATGGTTAGTAGTTTTTTTTAGCTGTCTATTCATGTCAATATTCACTCTGAGCAGCATAGTCTAAACAAAAGAGTGATTAGTAAATTATAAGTAATGTGAACATTGACATTAGTATGCACTGATGTGAATGTTCACATCTGTGTATGCTAATGACAGTAATGTGAACATTCACAGTATTACACACTGATGTGAATCAGTATATACTAATGTTAGTTGATCCATTAATGAACAGTACTGTGAATGCTAACATTGTCAGTGACTCAACAATCAACAATGAATTATTAATGGTCGTTAATGTGAATGTTCACATCGTTGATGTTTACGAACCTGAATCCAAAAACAGCAATAGTAAAGAGGGCAATGTACATATGAACATTCACATGACCTGTTTCGTTTATACTATTTTTCTATTCACTTTGGAATATTGTGAACAGTTGTGTATTGGTGTTGTGTTGTAGGTCTGTTTCCTGTTGCATTTGCAATTGTTGATTCGGAGACCACGGCTAATTGGTCGTGGTTCTTGCATGAACTTGGGAAGGTTGTTGATGGGAAGCGCCAGATTACTTTTATTTCGGATCGTAATCTTGGTCTGTTAGAAGCTATGCCGAAGGTGTTCCCATCGGCTCATCACGGTTATTGCTTACAACACTTGAAGAGCAATTTAAGAGACCGGATGAAAGGAATTGATAATGGATTCAAGGATCACCTAGGAAGTAGTTTGGGTGACTGTGCCTATGAGCCAACTGTGGTAGGGTTCCATGAAAAGCTTGCAAAATTAAAAAAGAAGGGTAAACAACGAGCTCATAATTTTTTCAAGGACTTGGCACCTGAGCACTGGGCAAATTCATACTTCGGGTAATAATAGTTTCCTAAGGTGTTCTATTTGTGAAGTTTAGAATGGTAGCGATGTAAATTTTCAGTTTAGAATGGTGACAATCTTCGAATTGTGTTTCATGTTCAATGTAAATGATGTGAATGTTCACATCTGCTAATGATGACTGATATGAATGTTCACATCTGTTAATTTGTCAAATAGTCATGCAATGTATTACAGATTTGAATGTTGACATGTGTCATATTTTGTTGTTGTTGTTAACATTCACATCTGTTTATCATTTAAGTTGACAACATAATAAGCATATAATCTGAACATTCACATTATTATAAACTGGTAGCAGATGTAAACATTCACATTATTGTACCCTGATGTGAATGTTCACATCAGTGTATACTAATGTCAGTACTGTGAATGTTCACATCTATCAACGTGAATGGCCAGACCTGTTAAATTCCGTATTGTACAATGTTTGTGATATTGTACAGGGACATGCGTTATGGGGAGATGACATCCAATGCGGCGGAGTCATTTAATAACTGGATTAAAGAAGCACGTAATCTTCCTATCACTCAAATGGTGGACACAATTCGTACTCAGTTGATGCGGCAAATGTCTACATGGCGTGACCAAGCAAACAAATGAAATGAGATTATTTGTCCGACATTCGAAACAAGACTTATGGATTCGTTCAATGACAGCAGGTCTTGGCAAGTTAGCAAAGCCAACGAGGATGTGTTTGAAGTTCATTCGATACCATCTGTTACATTTGATGTTGCGAGGCGTACATGTTCTTGCTTCAAATGGCAAATCAACGGATTCCCATGTGACCATGTTGTTATTGCCATTCAGAAGAGCCGCTACAATCTCAATGATTGTGTAGAACATTACTTTCATATAGAGACATATCGTGCAGCCTATTCGGGAGTCATATTCCCTATACCATCGGTGGAGAAGCCGTCTTTTGATCCCACGGACTTCACTATATACCCGCCAACTGTGAAAAGACCACCCGGAAGGCCGAAGAAGAATAGGATCCCATCAAGGGGTGAGAAACTGAAGTAAATAAGGTGCGGGAGATGTGATAAGTTGGGGAGCTATAATCGAAAATCATGCACGGAGCCGATATAGGATGTACCTTTTTTCATTTCAATATTGTATTTTACATTGGATTCTTATATTCATTTTTTAAATAAGATTGTGTTGTGTTGGCAAACATTGGGTTGCAATAAGATTACGTTGCGTTGGCAAACATAATAATGCATTAGTATTTGATTTGTGTTTTATTTTCACTTTTTTAAGGTACCAATCTGACATTTATGTTAGTTGTGTTTTGGATGAATGCATGATATTAACATTCACACTTGTGTAATATAATCACATTATGTGAATGTTCACCTTGTTGAACTTTCAAACATTTCTGTGGTAGGAATGTTCACATTGTTGTTACTGTTAACAGCATTAAAGTAGATGACATGAATGTTTACATCAATGTAACTATTCGCATCATCAACTCATAAGATGTGAATATTCATGACATCATTGTTGCCATTCGCATAATCAGAAGTTATGATGTGAATATTCACATCATCAAATTGTTAGATGTGAATATTGACTTGTGTTAAGAAATATCATAATCACACCTGTCATATTGTGTTACATGAACACTTTAAGCAATATTCACATCCATGTAGTATGGTTTAAAATAGAAGAAAGTGTACGATCATTCTGTGATGTGAACATTGACATCATGTCATGTGTATCCAAACAAAAAAAAAAGAAAATACAATCTCAATGTACACGACCAACGCAAAATAGGCCTGAAAATGCATATCATATATTGACTAAAAAATATCTGTACAAGCAGTGATATAGACTTGATTTACAATTAAGCTAGTCTGCTCCAATATGAAAAATCTATTGATACTAAATTGTCTTAAATGTGGATAACAGATTTGGGTAACAGTGATAGGTGGACACCCCCTACCTATAGGTTTTCACATTGCACTGTCTTTCTGTGGTTCAGAAAACGGTATACTAATGAGTCTCTTATTTGACACTATTCAAAGTGATCTAGGCTGGCAACAATGTCTTCACGATATACATGCGCCCTCATGATGTAACAAACTGCAAGCCCGCAATCCACCCTGAAAATGCAAACTTTTTGTTAGATTTTGAAATTTAGGTGGGTAATGGTTGTGGAACATGTGTAGAAATCGATTTTAGGCTTACGAATTTGATGCTTGCTGAGGACAGATGTCCACTGATATGATTGTTTTCGAAGTATTTTGGCTTGATAAGTTGGTCCATAATGGTGATGATGGTCCAATGTAATGCACCAAAACTGTGATGTAGTCCCTCTGCCAACAATGAAATTTCATATTAGGCACCAACCAACATAGGGCATACGTCCAAGTTCAAATATTACACATCACGACAAGTATTATTTTTGTCAGCCACTTACCAGTATTTGTGCTTTGTCAATATGTGGGTCATGTATGCCTTCTCTTGGGCACAGTGAGTTATAATGCCTCCATACATTCTCTTTCACGTCGTACACAACAATTGTCCAGTGGAAGTTGTCGTGTATTGGGAAGATTAAGAATCTCTGGCCTTGATACTCCTTGATGTGTACATCAATCAGTTTATTCCTCTTGTAGGGGGTACTCTTGCATGATTTTCTGCACACAAAGGGCATACAATGATGTACCAAGTATTTATATCAATGTTTGATGTTACTGATGCGAATGTTCACATCTGCTAATGGGGAGTCATGTTACTGATGTGAATGTTCACATTTCGTAATAGTGAGTGATACTACTAATGTGAATGTTCATATTTCGTAATGGTGAGTGATACTACTGATGTGAATGTTCACATCTGTTAATGTGAGTGATACTACTGATGTGAATGTTCACATTTCGTATTGGTGAGTAATACTACTGATGTGAATGTTCACATTTCCTAATAGTGAGTGATACTACTGATGTGAATGATCACATCTGTTAATGTCAGTGCTATTACTTATGTGAATGTTCCTATTTGTTAATGGTGAGTGATGTTACTGATGTGAATGTTCACATCTATTAATGTGAGTGATACTACTGATGTGAATGTTCACATCTGTGTATCATTTAAGTTTAACAACATAATAAGCATATAATCTTCAATGCGAATGATGTTAATGTTCACATCTGTCAATGTGAATCTTCTCAAATGTCATTTTATGTTGTTGTTAACATTCACATCTGCCTATTATTTAAGTTAACAATATAAGCATATAATGTTGAAAAGAAGATTCACATGTATTGAAACATAACCAAAATTAAAGTCTAGTGATTACCAAACATGTGCTTGTAAAGATGAATGATGAATCTTCCAAACTTGGGTTGACTAGCCCTTGTAGTTCAAGTAGAATTTCACCATAAGCATCTATCACCTGCAGAACCAGAGGGGTTCAGTACATTATTTGCAGTGCCTTTACAGTGTGTGTGGGTGTGTGTGTTTTGTACACATTTACAGTTGCCATACGTTGTTGGTTATTGATTCTTCCTTGATGATGTGTATGATGTCATCAAAATACACATCTTCAGTCTTTGAGTCCCCTCGCCACACTAGCAAACTGTGCATTGTGATTTCAGAAAACGTTAATGTCAACATTGCACATTTATGAAATGATCTAATTTATTAAGTATGTATGTGAACTGAACATGATCAAAAAAAAATAGTTGGGGATATGTAAGATCACTTACTCATCACCGCCGTTCTTGTGCAAATTTTGGACTTTTTGCTTGTTGAGTTTGTTCATGTTAGCCCAGACCTTCAGTTTGTTGTTCAAGGTTAACTTTTTGGACTTTGTTGGTTGCTTTTTTGGTGGTTGCTTGTCTAAATCTTGTGCTATTTGGACTGCATGTGATTGCTGTTCGGCTCCATCTTTCCCTTTCTTCTGACCAGGCATGTTGGGGTATTCAAACTCGTCCAACCTGTGTTCTTTCCTTACCTTCTGCTTTATGCGCTTTACCCTTGATGGGGGGCTGATAATGTGTTCCAATGCTGCAGTGGGATTGTTGTTAAGGCTGTCATGAGCCTTTTGTGCTTTAACTTGAGTGATGATGTGTACGGACTGATCATCAAAAAGGTCTTGAAGTATTGTTTTTTCACATTCCAAGTTGATGACCAACTTTGTCAGCCGCTGAATTTCTGTATCTTTCCACTCCATGCAAGTCTTCATGTCCATGTCCACATTGGATGAGCCCGATTGGTCAAATAGTTTGGCTTCAAGGGCAGCAATCACCCTTGCCCTCAACTCCCATGATTCTTCCAACTGTTTGTATTTCGCTTCCCATTGCCGTACAAGAGCCCAAGCTTTTTGGTTTTCTTTTATGAGTACTTCCACAATGTCGGGCTCAGTTGGTTGTGCTATGATGATTCCTTTCTCAGCATTGGGGGTGCTACAGCTGGGGTTGATATAATGTCCAACATCATTCAGGTCCACTGCATCGACAGAAAATGCATCCCTGTCATCACTGCGTTGATTGTCTTTGCTTTGATCCTCATTGCTTTCATCTTTCTTTGCTACTACACTTAACAAAATCTCAGGTTTGGGCTCTACATTCAATTTTGTATGACGGTACATCTTCGCTTCAGTTGGTGATGCCATTAGCTCACCGCCATATACCTGCATTTGGAAACAGTATGTTAGTTAGATAGTTCCTCGTCTCACTATGTGAATAGGCATAATATATTTGGTTGTACTTCTACCTCATTTAAACCCAGCTTAGCCAAAGATATGGACTTCATGTTGCTATGTAAGGCTGTAAGGTCCCACTTTACGCATCGCGAAATGGCATTGGGGTTGCGGGGTTGTAAGATTGTTGTATGCTCACACACCCAGTACTGAAACAAATAACAAGTATCAGTAATTTGAATGTTCACATCAATTAACATTGATGTGAATGTTTACACCACTTGGCAGTAATGTGAATGTATACATCAATTAAAACTGATGTGAATGTTCACATCTGTTGATGTGAATGTTCACATCTGCTAATGGGGAGTCATGTTACTGATGTGAATATTCACATTTCCTAATGTTGAGTGATACTACTGATGTGAATGTTCACATCTATTAATGTGAGTGATATTACTGATGTGAATGTTCACATTTGCTAATGGTGAGTGATGTTACTGATGTGAATGTTCACATCTGTTAATGTGAGTGATACTACTGATGTGAATGTTCACATCTGTTAATGTCAGTATTATTACTGATGTGAATGCTCACATTTTGCTAATGGTGAGTGATGTTACTGATGTGAATATTCACATCTATTAATGTGAGTGGTACTACTGATGTGAATGTTCACATCTGTTAATGTGAATGTTTACACCAGCATCTACTAATGTGTGTTTGTACATTACTGAAACAGTAATGTGAATGTTTACATCAATGTTGTCAACTTCCACAGCAATGCTGAGAAAGGTGAACATTCACATCAGAGTGTCCAGAGCCCGAAAATGTTCATATTAAACATAGAATAAGTTTTATGAGATTTACCATTAACAACATCACACATCCGGTGACTTGTCCTGGTTTTCCATAGTTTTGGCCCAATGAACCCATCAAGGTTGCCCGGATGCTCTCAGCCCAATCATACTCGATCATCTTGTCTAATGGGTCTATGTATGAGTAGAAAGTCCATCCAATTGTTTCTCCGGATGTAGAAAAGAATAGTTTGACGCATGCATACATGCAAACTAATCTTACGACCTCCTCATTGTCATGTTTTTTTGTGCCCTTCAATGCTTCGCTCAGAATTTTTCGTATTTTGGCAGCACTTAACCGACTAACATCCTTGCACATTCGGTGTATGATGCCGGTTGTTGGTTTTGCACCATAAGAGAGGTCCATCGACTTGGTGCCGCAGTCCACCCCAAAAATTAGTGATACGTCGCTTCTAAAAATTTGGATGTTCTTATCCCCAATGTAAAACCTCCTACTAGATTGCTTGAATGTCTGTACTATACGTGCAATGACATCATCATATTTCATGCAGTGGTTGAGGTCGATTTCGTTACTGATCAAGCAATCAAATAATGCCCAGAACGGTGTTTTTCTAAGGCACTTCAATTGGCCACTTGTAAATTTTGTATCCTTTAACAGTTTGACCAATCCAGTTATATTTGACCAGTAGTTAACTTTTTTCATGTTCACTTCTTCAGGAACAGCTGTTTGATCAGGCTTGGTTTTAGGACGGGATTCCCCTCGCTTTCGCTTGCCATCAACTTTATGGGAAAGACCTGTGTGTTCAAATAAACACATATAATTGGCTGAAACACAGAGGATGGAACCAGAAGCACCAAACAACATTCAACAACCAACATTGACAGTAATTTGAACGTTCACATCATTGTACACTGATGTGAATGTTCACATCAGTGTATACTACTGTAAGTTTACCCAGTAATCAACACTAATGTGAATATTCACATCATCCATGTTTGCAAAATAAATTCCGAAAACAACAACAGTTATAGGGCAATGTAAATTTTTACATGGGTGATCACATTATGTTATAATTTGCTAAAAATCAAAGGGGGGAACCAACAGCGCCAAACAACACCCAATAACACAAACAACTTGGACATTGATGTCACAATATGAATATTTACATCATATTTCATCACAGTGTTGAGTGAAGTTTGGGGGTTCTGACATTAATGTGAACATTCACATGTAAGTTTACCCAGTAATCAACACTAATGTGAATGTTGACATCATCCACGTTTGCAAAACAAATTCTGAAAACGACAACAGTTACTGGGTAATGTGAATGTTTACATGGGTGATCATATTATGTTATAATTTGCTAAAAATCAAAGGGGGGAACCAGAAGCACCAAACTACACCCAATAACACAAACAAGTTGGACATTGATGTCGCAATATGAATATTTACATCAAATTGCATCACAGTGTTGAGTGAAGTTTGGGGGTTCTGACATTAATGTGAGCATTCACATGATGTGAATGTTCACATCAGTGTCTACTACTGTAAGTTTACCCAGTAATGAACACTAATGTGAATGTTCACATCATCCATGTGTGCAAAATAAATTCCGAAAACTACAACAGTTACAAGGCAATGTGAATGTTTACATGGGTGATCACATTATGTTATAATTTGCTAAAAATCATAGGGGGGAACCAATAGCACCAAACAACACCCAACAACACAAACAAGTCCAACATTGATGTCACAATGTGAATATTTACATCACATTCCATCACATTATTGAGTGAAGTTTGGGGATTCTGTGGACATAAAAAATGAACAATATCAACAGTGAAAGTAATATGAACATTCACATCATTATACACTGATGCGAATGTTCACATCATTATACACTGTTGTGAATATTTACATCAGTGTCTACTACTGTAAGTTTAGCCAGTAATCAACACTAATGTGAATGTTCACATCATCTATTTTTACAAAATCAATTCCGAAAACATCTATGTTTACAAATTCAAATCCGAAAACCAGAAGGTGGATGTATACATCGATGATGACATTACGATTGAAAAGCAGAAGGTGGAATGGTATTCCTTACTTTTGTTCGTCATGGTTGGTGGGTATGGATCACACTTAGTGGATAAAATAAACTTAATGGGACGACAAGAATCTTCGAACGACGAAGCACCTTCCTTCCGGTGTGAACCTTCGCAGTGGTGAGACGAAGAGGAATCTGGGGTCGATGGTCGACGGTGGACGACGAGGACGTTGGTGAGGCGATGTGAATCTAGGGTTACTGGAGGCGATGTGAGTATCATTTCATGGATTGAGTTTTTGTTTTGGAAATTTTGTGGATTGAATAGTTGGAATAGGAATGGGTTTTGCGGAATCGGTTACACATGGGAGAGGCGGAGAGGGTTATTTCGTCCTTTTACAATTAATGGACCTAATGGAATATTCAGAAAAAGTTTGGATTTTATGGAACAAAATAGTTATAAATGGGATTTATCAAAAAAAGAGCCCTATTTTTATATAAATTTTATGTATGTATAGAGTTTTTCATTCTAAAATAAATTTTGTTTTAGATTATAAGAATCCTCTATATACATTATTTTGCATGGTATTTTTTTTAATTGTTTATAGTGTGGTATGTCTTTCCTTAATCATATTTTTGAATTTAAAATATATATAATAAAAAAAAAATTGTTAGGTGAACCTTTCACAATCATCATAAAATAGAAAGAATCTTGATTTGCCCAAGTGAGATCAAGATTTGATCAAAGATACATGTATTGTTAAAAAAACTATAAAATTAACTATTTTGATCAAAAGCAAACCTAAAATAAATTATTTATAAGTCCTATTAGGAAAACTTATGCTACTTATGGTCCTACTAAAAAACTTATGTTCTCATAAGTCCTGTGGGAAGTTTGTTGACACATTTACCCTCAATATTAGTTGTTAATATCATAAATAACAGTAAAACCATATATAGGAAATTGAATGTTACCATAGATTATATCTATATAAACGTAACGTAACGCGACACCTACATAAACGTAACGTGACACCTATACGTAACGTGACACCTACATAAACATAACGC